AGTAGTAGTAGGAGTAGCAGTAGCAGAAGTAGTAGTAGTAGTAGCAGCAGCAGCAGCAGCAGCAGTAGCAGTAGCAGCAGCAGCAGCAGGAGTAGTAGTAGTTGTCGTCGTCGTAGTCGTCGTAGTCGTCGTCGTCGTCGTAGTAGTAGTAGTAGTAGGTGGTAGTAGTAGGTGGTAGGGAGGGTTTCCCCCCCCGGTGTGACGGAAGACCATGGTTTTTCAACACGTTGTTGCGTGTGCAGTGCTGGAAATACCAGCATTTCGGGCGTTAACATGCCATGAAAGTCATGATCAGCAACTGCGCGGTTTCTTCATATATTCTTGTTCGAGTGCCGAAAGTCCTGGCATTTGCAGCACTCGCGCTGTAATTCTTTTTGGTTTTGCACTTTGTCACAGGAAGATTTTGCGTCAGGCCTTTTGCGAAAAATCCTGCTTTTCCTACAGAACAAAAACCGAAGGACGCTTCAGAGCACCCATGGCCCAAAGCTATCTCGTCCTTGACCATTCGCCCGCTTGTTGGTCCAGTCCAGTCGGGAGTGGTGTGCGGGTGCCTGTGGCCACGTCCTCGTCGTGATTTTGTTCCGTTTGCGGGCAGTGTGTTAATTTGGCTTGTGGTGGTCAGACTCGCTTGTTGATGTTAAGAGGCTTGCTCGGATGATTAAGGAGTTCTGTGGTGATTAGACTGGCTTGCGGCTTGGGTTAAACTGGCTTCTTGTGGCGGTTAGACTGGGTGGTGAGTGGGCAGACTGGCTTGTGGCCGAAGCAGAGGTTGCAGTGGTTGGAATGGCTTGCGGGTTTTGGGGCATCACTCTTGACATCAGCCATCGTCCGCACAATCACAAGGAGCATTGCTGATGCGAGTTTCGAAGTCTTTTTGGATGCTCTTGCAGATGTGCTGCGCTTCAGCATGGATTGCAATGAACAGCAGCAGTACCGGACCGTCCCACTTCTCACACTTTACAATGGATGGGGTTGTAATGCGGGCGTCTTGGGGGAGGTGGGTCATGCTTTTCTGCTGTAGGTACTCCGAACGGGGGAAAACATTGTAGTCCAAGAGAAAAGAAAAACTGTTCTTGCTGTTGCTGTTGCTGTTGCTGTTGCTGCTGCTGCTGCTGCTGCTGCTGCTGCTGCTGTTGCTGCCGCTGCCGCCACTGCTGCTGCTGCTGCTGCTGCTGCTGCTGCTGTTGCTGTTGCTGTTGCTGTTGCTGTTGCTGTTGCTGTTGTTGTTGTTGTTGTTGCTCTTGTTTTGTTGCTGATGTTGCTGTTGTTGTTGATATTCTTATATATTCTTGCTGTTGTTGCTGTTGTTGCTGGTATTGCTGCCATTGTTGCTGTTGATGCCGTCGTTGCTGCGGTTGCTGTGGTTGCTGTGGTTGCTGTCGTTGCTGCTGCTGCTGCTGCTGCTGCTTCTGCTGCTGCTGCTGCTGCTTCTGCTGCTGCTGCTGCTGGTGCTGGTGCTGCTGCTGCTGCTGCTGCTGCTGGTGCTGGTGCTGGTGCTGGTGCCGGTGCTGGTGCTGGTGCTGTTGCTGTTGCTGTTGCTGTTACGGTTGTGGTTGTTG